AGACAACCTCACTTTGGAATCTGAGTCTCATGCAAAGAAAGAGAGAACTTGCATGTAAAGTAACTATTAAAATCAATTTGTAAAGGATAGAGTCTAGTCCACCTATACAGATTCTCCAAAAATGAGATGATCATGCAAACAAAACAAAAAGCCATCTTCCAGGAATGGAAGAAAACGTTTTTCTGGACATCCCTTTCCAATGTAAGCCCCAAAGGAAAGAACAAGTAAATCTGTGCCACCTTAGTGGAAGAGACAAGGATGCCAAGACTCAAGATAACTCCCTGCTGCTCATCAGGTGTTTGAACCAAACACTTGCAAAGGAAGTTTTGACTTTCATTACTAAAAATAAACTCCAGCTTGTACATGAGGCTTATTTTGTAGTCTTCTATAATGTCTTTTCTGCACTATTTTCTGGGAATTTTATGAGCTAACAACCTTTAAGGAGGTTTTATCAAACTCTGAGAAAATAAAGGCACAGATCAGAAATTTCACAACCTTCTGAAGTGGGACTTCAAGTGGGGCTTACACTCACTTCTTTATTAGTGGAAATTGAAAACAAGTCACTTTTTTGCTCATCTCTCTGAAGTTGAAATGTGGCTCTCCTATGCTAAAACAAAAATAGCCTCACTCAAGCATCGATTACTAAGTACCACATCCCTGGAGGCAAGGGAGTCCAACCCAGTGTCACTATAGAAGTGGTTTAGGTTTTGTTTGTTTTGCATGCAGACAAGGTCAAGAATACCTTTGAAAAAGCTTCCCATAGGCACCCCCTGTCCCCTGCAATTAAAAACAGTAAATTCAGGAGTCCAGCTGCCCGCATAAGGCACCCTAAATCAGCAAACCAAATTTGCTCTCTCTCCAGTGCCTTCATGCACCGCTAGACTGTACCAGGTTCGCTGTGCCACAGCCCTTCACCTCCAATGAATTTCTTCCAGTGCCCTCGGCGCTGTCTCTTGCAGTCCGGCTTGAAAGCACAACCTTCACTACTCTGCCTCCGTTTACAAGACCTGAAGTATGTCTTCAGACCTAAGGAAGAAAATTAGGTTAATCTGCAGAAGTTACCGTCAGACCTCCTTGAGCGAGTGAGTTAGCATCCAAGGGCTATACAGCTACGTCAACGCAAGCAGCACATGAAACGCCAGCGTGTGGCTAGCAGAGGGCTGGTGTGAGCCCTAGCGACACGCTGCCCACAGGAGCTCGAAAGCAAAATAATCCCATGCACCTTTTGGTTTGGGGTTTTTTACTATTGATAATATGCTTGAGTTTAAAAAGAAGCCGGAGCTCGTTGCTCCTGACTCGGTACCAACAACACTTGACAGAGAAGACCGTACCCAGAGGGACTCGCCATCCTTGGGAGGAAAATAACCGGGGCAACGCCAGAGGTGCCAGCGCTAGCCAGGAGGTGGCAGAGGAGCAAGGCTGCCTTGGACACCGGCTTCTGCATTCGTTTGGCAAAAACACAAACACAAACCAAGGAAAGACAACAAAACCCAGCCCCACCCTCCATCTTCAGGAATAAGAGGATGAAACCCTTAATCACATT